GAAAAACATTTATTTGGGTCGAACCCACAATTTGAATCTATTTGAGTCCATATAATTATACCTATAAAAAAATATCGACCATCTAACTATTCGCATTAAAGCAATTCACACCTTCATTATCGGTGTTTCCACATTTATGTTTGTTATACAAAAAAAATTGCAAAAATTACATTAGAGTTGATATTCATTTTTTTTTAATTTAGACTCAAACTAAATAGTCGTTTATTGGTATGACCTTCAAGTGATATTACCAAATATGATTTGACTGGTAATAAATTGGGTTTGGGAAGGATTTTTTTTTTTTTTTTTGCAATTCATAGTGGAGGGAATTTTTTAGGCCACGTTTGGCATTAGTTGTTCATTCACCACCACATCCAACGCTAAGGTATCACTTTCCCATCATAATTTTTAATTTACTGCGTAATGAGATAATCTAAATTCCTTCAGTTTTGGGTTTCAAAATAGTACATTTGCAATCACGTATTTACATAGTTTCCATCTCCTACTTTTAAATGTGTGAGATTTAAAGTTTCTTTATCTAAATTTCATAGCAAAATATGAACCTGTAAACATTGACAGAAGTGAGTGAACAACTAAAGATCATAATGATTGTAGCTTTAGTGGTATGGAGGTATATTTGAGCTCATAAATCAATTAACAGCATCTCATCTTTCATTGAAAACTAAGCGAAATTTAGGGAGTCATTCATTGTTATATAAAAGTATTTGAGTAAAATATGTTTGGAAACTGATATTGCATGCAATAATAGAGTTTTTGATATATATATATATATATAGTAGAGGAGTATATTATATCTATAACCCATTAAAAATACACGACAAATTTGTTCAATCTAATTTGTTATGACCAAGGTTGTCACTTGATTACACCAATTAGTCGTTTAAGCAAGTGGGTTAAGGATTAATGGATGAATTGGATTAACCTGGTCAAGCCTAGCTTTACCCATGTGCATGAAAATTTTATTGATTTCACGTGTATTATGCTTAGATATTTATGAAATTTCTATGATAAATTTAGATACAATGACGATTTAATATAAATTATTTGTTGAAATTGAGTTTCATTTTTATACTTTTCTCTCACTTGGAACTGATGCTTTAAAATGACGCTTTAATTCTAAATCTCTCCCCTCTTTCTTTTTATCTTTTTCCATTTCATTTTCTAGTTTTTTCTTTTCTTCTTTTCATTGCATATCATATTCCATTCTCAATGTTCTTACTCTTCTTCTCCAATTCGATTTCATGTATATATACAAATGAGGACATTGGTCTTTGTTAATCACACCAAGTTTCAATCCAAATATATGTTCATTTAATCTTATGGCTTATTCTTTGTTTGAGATGTGGTTGATTGTCGATGTGACCTTGTTGCTGGAAGGAAAATGGAATTGACTACTGAAGAACTGTGTTGGCTTTTGAGATTGGGACTTGTATTGTTGCCTGCCGATACTAAAGGAGGAAATGATATTATGGGATCAATGTAGTCAAAATCGAGATTATGATCGTGAAATCGTAGGATTTTAGGATTTTACTTAGGGATTCCGATCCTGATTTTACTATAAAATCGATGGACCTTAAAATCGGGATTAAAATCGTGAAAATCGTACCAAAATTGGAATTTTGATCGTATGAGAAAAAATAGGTGTGTTTGAGCCAATCTAAAAGAAGCATAATTGTTTCGGCGGAAAGGGCAATGACGGGAATCTTCTCATATATTTTTTCTTTTAAAAAAATTATTCAAAAATGATGAAAATAATCAAATTAGCGCTCGGTCAATCCCTTTCCCTTCTCCTCATTTAACTTACAGGTAAAACAATTGTCCTAATATTGGAAGTACGTAAAAATTAACATCATTATTAACTAATTAATTTATTAACGAATATATTTGTAAAAAGACATTACTTATTTTATTGGAATTCAAATATTTTTAGTTTTAAATCATACTTAGACGATGTCAGAATATTACTTTGAGTTAAACTACCTAGACAGAACATGAAACAAGAGACAACCCCATTGAGCTTTATCCATTCCTCATGAATTATTTTGAGTTACGCATTAAATAAAAATTAAAATAGTAATTTTGGAACATTAATCTTGAGACTTATCTTTTGTAAAAACAAATCTTGAGAATTATCATTTTAAATGTTATGTGTCTTTGTGTTATTAATAATTTACCTTGTTACTATTATTATAGGTTATGTTCTATATGGTACTTAAAATCCTACGATTTTACCCCAATTTTTGATTTTAGGTAAAATCTCGATTTTAACTACTTTGTATGGGATAACCAAACACGGGTCAACAACTCAATTTTGAATAAATATCAATAATCTCATTCATAATTTATGGGAAATAAATAATTTCTTCCACAATAAATTTAACGTGATATTTTTATTTTCAGTCGTAGTTTTTTTTTCACAGAAAAAATATTTTAACCGTGCTATTCAAATGACATTGGAACACAAAACTTTATATATATTCAAAGTTTATACCATACTGACAATGTTTGGTAGTACATAAGATTATATTATAGTGGTATATTAGATCATGAAATTTTCCGACCCAGAAATTTGTAGACCGCGATGTACTCGTTTCTTCTGTGCAAAAATTTCCAAAATTTGAGTTTAAAAACGAAGGTACTAGGTGGTACCAGTGTGGTAATGGGTGATACAAAATTGTATATCAGTTTTCAGATGACAACAAGCTCGTTCCATCTGTGCAAAAATTTGAAGTGTAAACTAAAAACAAGATACGACTTTGTTAAAAATTAGAAAAAAATAAAAAGTAAATTAATCTCACCCCTTAAATCTAGCCTCAATTTGATGTAATTATGCATAAATGCATCTGACCCTCCGCCAAGTACTCGTACGAGTGCGAGGTAAATGAAATTCTAATTAGGTATTATCAATGGTCAAGAAAGCGTTAGGTGCTGGTCTGCTGGAGGTGGTGTCGAATTGCAATTCATGTGTTCTAGTCTTTGTTTCATTGACTAGAATTGAAATTTCAAATTGGGGAAAGAAGAGCGAAGGGCCCATGAATATAGAGCTGTTGGAGCCTGTTTGAGCCAAGATACCCGAGTCCCACTGGTCGTGATCTGGCAGGCTCGACTCGCAACACAGCCGCCAATAACCTGCAAAGACAAGCGCCTAATGGGCTTCGGGATGCCCGTTAGCACTCCAATGCTCAAGTCAGTGCCAAATCTAGAGAGATAAGTGATATCCGAAGTTTTAGTGAGAGAAGCCAACCTGCGTAAATGATATGATCCCAAATAACCTTCCCCACAGGTCTCCATTACTCGTTAAAGAAGCTGCCTTAAGTCGTTTGACGAAACTTGAATTTTGGCCAAGTAATGGAATTGTTTCAAGTGGCTCTCTTTACAAGCATGGTACTCGTGTTTGGCTCGATGGAAATGGACTTTGGAGGATTTGTTTTGAACCTGAAGACTTCCTCTCCAACCTTGAGTGTTTGGGAGCTCGAGGGAAGGCTGGGAAGTACAGTTTTCGAGCTCACCAAATACCTATGTCAGAACAGGAAATCTGCCAGGAATTGCCTAAGGCATGGAGCAGTTTCGGGCAGGCCACTTTGGAGTCCAATCCACAACAACGTGCTGGGAATAAAGTTTCATGGTTCATACCACATGAAAGCTTGTACTTTCTACTCCGGAAGCAAGGGGTTGGGTGATCAAAACCACAAATGGAAGGCTGCCAATGAGGGCTCTGAAGATGGCATCAAGACAGTGTTTTCCTTGCGTTTTAAGTTTCTGTGTTGCTTTAGGAATTGGACTGTTTTTGCTTTCCTTGTTTGGTTTGGGTTTCTTTTTCGTTTAAGGATGTTTGTAGGCTCTATTTAAGCGCCATGAAGGCATTGTAATCGGAAGAATAGTTTGAGTTGAGTTTTAACCATAAACCTAAGTTTGTCATAGCTAGTTTTTGGTTGAGATTTTGGCCGAGAAAACCAAACTCGAAATTTCCCTTGTATCGATAAAAAGCACCTTGATCGTGGGCGAGCTTCGACGTATACTCATTGAGCCTTCCTCCACGTGAAGGATTGCACAAGGAGTTCCATCCTTCTCGTTGTTAATTCGGATTCTTGGCCGCGTTGCAGAGCTTGGTTTCCAAGTTCGATTGAAGGCATCAACACCTTGCTTGGGTGTTATCAAGTGGTAATCAGAGCCCGGTTCACCTGAGTGGACAGGAAGGAAGACGATGTGGCAGGAGCGATTCATTGGACAAGGTCTAAAGATCAATCTCCAGGGATCCTGCCCTCCGACAGCGGAAACCAGAAGAAAACTCCGACGAGCCGAATCAAGAGGTCGAGGTTCCCATGGCCGGCCAATTCAATACAACTAAGTTTCTACAGACCATAACGGCTCAGATTGGAGCAATTTTCGAGACGCAATTCAATAAGCTTGAACGCCAGATGGAGCAACAGGGGCAGAGGCTGGATGCTCTGTCTCAAGCGTTGCCAGAGGTGGAACGCGCAGCAGAGGCTGTTCGAAACAGAGTAGCAGGGGCTGACCAGGAACGAGAGAATCGGGAACTTGTGGCTCGGATAGAGGATCTTGAGCAGCAGCTGGTTACCATCAATCCCCAACCTGGTCGCCGACATCACGAACGTCGTGATCATCAGGGAAGGCCGCCGGAGGCAGAGCCGGCAATCCCTGTTGGAATTAAACTGACCATTTCGACTTTTAAGGGGACTTTAAATGCTGCAGCGTACCTGGATTGGGAAAGAAAGATAATTCTTTTCTTTCAGTGCGGACAGTTCACCGAACAGCAGAAAATAGCTATGCTACTTACGAATTCGCGGACTACGCAGCCTAGTGGTGGGAACAGCTACAACTCCGTCGACGATGAAATCTCCAAGCACCTGTGGTGACGTGGGACGAGTTAAGTGGGCTGATGAGGGAACGATTTGTTCCGGGTTATTACCACTGAGAGCTACATGACTCGTTGCAGGGAACTCGAGAAGGGTCGAGGAATGACGAAGAGTATTTTATAGAGCTAGAGTTGCTTTTGATGCGGGTTGATGTGCACGAAGAAAAAGAAGCAACAATTTCACGATTTCTCTACGGTCTGAATCGCGAAATTCGGCAAGAGGTTGAGTTGCGATCTTTTGTCGAACTTGAAGAGGTGGTGCACCTCGCAATCAAGGTGGATAAGCAGCAAAAATCCTCTTCAGAGAGAAGGATTGCAAATGCTAAACCTGCTATTGAGCCTGCTACCTAACTCCCTTTCCATATGGAGCCCTATTAGGAAGTCCTCATAATCTGCAGCATTGTTCGTCTTGAGGGTTGCAAAACGTAATGCTACTTCATGCATGGCTCCCAATGGGTTAATGAGGACGACACCTGCCCCCGCGCCCCCTCGGCTAGCCGCTCCATCCACAAGCACTTGCCAGCACTCTTCCACACCAATTCCCACATCCAGAACTCCTTTAGCCACAAAATCCGCCAACACTTGAGCCTTGATGGCCGGCGTGGGCGCATAACTTACATCGAACTCACTGAGTTGTACAACCCATTTCACTAGGCGCCCAGACACATCCATAGATCCCAAAACCGTTCTCAGGGGAAGGTTGGTGGGCACCACTATAATATGAGCATGAAAATAAGGTCGGAGCTTGTTTGCGGCCATGACCACCGCCAACGTCGCCTTCTCTATAGGCGCGTATCGTGTTTCATGACCCACCATGGTGCGGTTGACGTAATACACCGGCTTCTCTCATTTGTCAGTGGATCCTTGGACGCGAGAACCGTGCTTACGGCAATGTGAGACACGGCGATGTATAAGTACAACTTCTCTTTCGCCTTGGACGTGGTCATCACCGTAGGCGCCTTTAGCAGCGCCTTCAGGTCCTCAAAATCCTTGTTGCACTCTTCCGTCCACTTAAATTTGGAGGCTTTCTTCAGGACTTTGAAAAAAGGGGTGCCTCTGTCCTATGCTCTAGGAATGAAGCGCCCAACCGCCGCCAGCCTTTCTGTCAACCCTTGAACCTCTTTCGCCATTCGCGGGGGCGCCATGCTCATGATAGACTCGACTTGCTTGGGGTTGGCCTCAATTCCCCGCTTCGTTATCATGAACCCAAGGAACTTTCATGCTCCCACCAAAAACACGCACTTCTTGGGATTAAGCCTCAGCTGAAAGAGGCGCATAGTCTTGAAGGGTTCTCGTAAATCCGTGATATGGTCCTGGCGCCTCTTACTTTTCACAATCAAATCATCCACGTATGCTTCCACGTTTCTCCACAATTGCTTTCGAAAAACCTGGTTAACCATACGCTGATAGGTGGCTCCTGCGTTCTTCAATCCAAATGCCATCACCTTCTAGCAGAAGTTACGAAAAAGTGTCATGAAAGCAGTCTTTGCCCTAACACCCTCCACCATGGGGATTTGATGGTAGCCCGAGAACATGTCGAGGAAACTAAGCGCCTCGTGATAGGCCGTTGCATCCACGAGTAGGTCAATGCGTGGCATAGGATAGGCGTTTGTAGGGCATAATGCCCGGTTAAGATTGGTAAAGTCCATGCACATTCTCCATTCTCCCGACCACTTTGGCACGAACACGACATTCGAAAGCCACGTGATGTACCTAGCCTCCTCAACGAACCCTGCCTCGAGTATCCTATCGACTTCGTGGCGGAGAGCCTCTTCTTTGTCAGGAGTCAAGTTTCGTCGTTTTTGTTGGACCGACCTCTTGCCTTCCTCGATAGCGAGCCTGTGCGCCGCCGTTTCTGGAGACACACCAGGCATATCCTGCGCGCTCCATGCAACTAACTCCCCACACTCCTGGAGTAACGCAACCAAGGGCGCCCTCATGTCCTCAGGAGCCTGCGTCGAAATTCGCACTTGTCGGTCCGGGCGCCCCTTGTCAATTGCCAAGACCAGTTCGTCGTCAACAGGTTCAGCCTTGGGCGCCTCCTCTATGCAAATGTCTATGTTGTTCACCTTATACCTTCGAACATTGCCCCGCGATTCTTCCTCTCACGCATAACGGGGAGTGTTCCCCCTCTTGAGATGCCTATCCCCTGTGGCGCAACGAAATTTAGCGTTTGGTGACAAGTGGAGGCTACTCCGTTATACTATGCCAACAGGGGTCTGCCAAGTATCACATTGTACGGTGAGGGGCAATCAACAATTCTGAACTCCACCGCGTGCGTTACGGGATGCACTTCATCATCCAATGTTACGAGAAGGCGCACTCGTCCGATCACATGTGCGGGCGCCCCCAAGAAACCTATCAACACGGAGCTCGAGGGAATCACCAACTCAGGTGCTAATTGCATACGCTCAAAAGTGCTTTTAAACAACACATCCATCGAGCTACCGGTGTCTACCAGCATCCTCTTCACCCTGCATCCCGCAATCACACCTTGTATCTCCAAGACTTCCTCCGACTGAATTTGGCATGCCTCATTCGGTCCCTGGTTGAAGTGTATTTGCACCGCCGCCTTCGCCTCCGAAGACGCAGCTCTTAGGCGCCTGTATCTTTCCAGTTTGTCTCGAAGGTCGATGGTGCCAATGATTGACTCCACCATGAGCCTCGCGCGCTCCTTCTTGGTTCACCTCAAAAGGGGGCGGGGGTATTTCGGGCGCCTGCTGCATGATCGGCAACGCGGGCGCCTGTTTTTCCTCCCTTGCTACATAAATGGGGTGAGTCCTCTCTTCGGCCCTCTTCACAAAGTCATTAAGCATTCCTCAGTCGGCCAAGGTCTACAATTCCTCTTTCAACTGGTAGCAATCAGCCTGGTGATGTCCTTTATCTTGATGGAAGTCATATACCGGTCAAGGTTTCGTTCATTCGGTTTCCCTCGCATTAGCCCTGGCCCCCTTCACGTATTGCAAGATGTTTTTCAGCGTATCATTATATTCTGAGAAGTTTGTTGCGCTCCTGGGTGGTGGGTGATGTGCCTCTGGTAAGTTATTCCCCATGGTTGGTCTAGGAGGATGTCTCGTATCTACCTCTTTCCCTTTTAGGCGCCTTTTTTATGCCCTCCGAGCTGCCAATGTTTCCTCCAGCATGATTACTTTCTGTACTCTCCGATCCAAGTCTTCGGTAGAAACAACAGCTCTCTTCGAGAGCACACGACACAGCTCTTCACTACACGTGCATTCCTCAAGGCAAACTCCCAACACTAGGGGTTGCACATCATTAACCGCCATGGCGACCGAGATCCATCGATCATAGAATTCCCTTAGCGCTTCACCATTGATGAGGACATCAAGGGGCCAGTCACACGTGCTAAGGCAAGGACGTTGAAGGAGAAGCTTGAGACATATTGGGAGAGCTACTTTGGAGCAATGGACATGGAGCTATTTCGAGGGAAGCCATATATGATGATTCGAGTGGAGGAAGAAGGAGGAAGTGCTGAAGAGAAGGCAGATTGCAAGAAGCAGCCTTAACGGGTTTGCTTAACGGGTCTAGCCTTAACGGTTTGCGCTTAAAGGGTCCAGTCATAACGGTTTGGGCTTAATGGGTTTGATGGGCTATTTCCGAGTTTTCATGTTTTAAAGTCGGTTTATGATTGTTTTTCCATGTTGGAGTCGGATTTGGGTTGTACTTTGCCTATTTAAAGGGCTGAACACGTTGGTTTGCCCTTAGACGATTATTATTGAATTTCATAGGCTAAAGCCGAGTTCCCTACGCGGAATTTGCCCTAATTACTCTGTCGAGAATCTCCAGAGTGCTAGAGCGACTATTATCAGCTAGGTATTCACCCTGGTTGTGGCGAGCTACCCATATCGATTTCCCTTTATTCCGAGTTGAATCTGTCCGATCGATTCATATATCGATTGCCCTTATTCACGGGTGAGTACTGTCCGATCGATTTCCATCATATCCGTTTCTGTTTGGTTCGAGAAGCTTGACCCTGCGCAACTTTGATTATATCAAGTGGTATCAGAGCTAAGGTTCAAATCAGTGGCGTGTTCTTGAAGTTTTTTTTTTTGAAGATCTTGTGCGTTCTTGTTTGTGTTCTTGGTGGTTTTGTTCGAGTTCTTGAAGGTCTTGGAGTGTTCTTGAGCTGCAAGACAGGAGGTTATTTGTTCTTGGGAGTTCTTGGTGTTTCTTGCGAGGCAAGAAGCAGGTTGTGCGAGTTCTTGTTAAGTTCTTGTGTTCTTGGAGTTTTCTTGCATCGCAAACATGGAAGCAGCACTCGAAGCGATCAGAAATCAATTGGACAACATTGCTCGTGCTCAAGAAGAGCAAACAGCAAGGCTTGCCGAGAAAGCCACGAGGATGGAGGCTGTCGAGACAAGGCTCCAGCAGCCGGTTGTGGTCGATGCAAACCCTAACCCTAGACCTCAACAAGAAGAAAGGGGAAGGGAAAACCGAGCTCCTCCACCCTTGGTTCACGAAGTACAGCGTCATATGCGCCAGCATATACGCCTTGGAATTCCTCGTGCTGAAAGGAGAGGGCGGCAGCAGCATCATGAAGAGGAGTTTAATGACGAGTAAGAAGAGGGCTTTGAGGAGGATGATTTGCGAAACCTCAAGATCACGATTCCACCTTTTCGCGGTACCACAAACCCTGATGCTTATTTGGATTGGGAGCGAAAGATGGAACTAGTGTTTGATTGTCATAACTACTCCGAGAAGAAGAAAGTGACATTGGCTGCCCTAGAGTTCTCGGATTATGCACTTGTTTGGTGGGATCAGTTGGGAACAAAACGAAGGAGAAACAGGCAGCGTCCTATTGAGATGTGGGATGAGATGACAGGAATTATAAGGGATCGATTTGTACCGAGTTCCCATTTGCGAGATATGTATCAAAACCTCTAGCTTCTCCGGCAAGGAACTAAAAGCGTTGAAGATTATCACAAGGAGTTGGAAGTGTTGATGATACGTGCTGATGTGAGAGAGGACCGCGAGGCTACCATTGCTCGTTTTCTGTATGGTCTCAATCGAGAGATCAAGAACGTGGTGGAGATACAACCGTTCCTTGAACTTGAAGATTTGGTAGATATGGCAAGTAAAGTGGAACGACAGCTTCGAAATAGGAGGTTTCAACCCTCCACGAGTTCCACATGTTCTAGCCAAGGAGTTGCAACCAACCGTAAACCGCAACTGCCCGTGAAAGAAGCTCCTAGACCCACGACAAGGGCTGATGGTGAAAATCCAGTTATGAAGCAAGGTGGATCGTCGGGGGAATCTGTTGTTTCAAATGCCATGGAAGAGGACACATTGCGAGCCAGTGTGCCAATAAGAAGACCCTGATCTTGCTTGATAATGGTGATTATGTATCGGAGGAAGAGGAAGAGACCACCGATTCTGATGTCGATGAGTCTATGGAAATGGAACCACCTCCAGGCAGTTTGTTTGTAGCACGGAGAGTATTGTCTGCGCAGCCTAAGGAGGAGAGTGAACAGCGAGAAAATATCTTCCATACGAGATGTGTAGTTGATGGGAATTTGATGTCTCTAGTGATCGATGGAGGAAGTTGCACGAACGTTGTGAGAGCTTGTGCGGTGAAGAGGCTAGGGCTGCCTACATTGAAGCATCTAAAGCCATACACGCTGCAATGGCTTAACGATCACGGATCCATCAAAGTCACAAAGCAAGCACTAATGAAGTTCGAGATTGGAGATTACAAAGATGAGATTTTGTATGATATAGTGCCTATGCAAGCTGCACATGTGCTTTTTGGCAGGCCATGGCAGTTTGATCAACAAGCACAGCATGATGGAGTGACAAATAAGTACAAGTTGCAACATGGAGGACAGAAGTTCGTGTTGAAGCCTCTGTCTCCAAGTGAAGTATATCGAGATCAACTCAAAATGCAGCAACGTCGAGAGCAAGAAAATGCAAGTAATGCCTCGACCAAGAAAGGAGAAGAGGGAGCTGGAATTGTGGATTCGAAGGCAGTGATGCTAGCAGACAATGGAGATTTGAAGCAAGCTGCATGTGCACGAGAACCTTTGATTGTGCTCATGTACAGGGACGTGCTTCTCAATCAAGAGCTAGTCCAAGAAGTTCCAGCCGAAGCAAGAGTGGTGTTGGATGAGTTCGAAGATGTGTTTCCAGAGGAAGCACCAAAGGGGCTGCCTCCTATTCGCGGGATTAAGCACTAGATTGATTTTGTGCCGGGAGCTCAAATTCCAAACAAGGCACCATATCGAGCTAATCCGGAAGAGACCAAAGAGCTGCAAAGGCAGATTGAAAGAGGCTCATGGAGGAGGCTTAATGGCACATTTCGGTGTAGACAAGACGCTGAGTTGTCTACAAGAGCACTTCTATTGGCCGCACATGAAGGGAGACGTGGAGAATCTGTGTGCGAGGTGTGTGGAGTGCAAGCAGGCCAAGTCGAAGGTGCAATCATCTGGATTGTACACACCACTGCCGATTCCATATGCTTCATGGATCGACATCTCTATGGATTTTGTGCTTGGTTTGCCGAGGACACGGAAGGGAAGAGATTCAATTTTTGTGGTGGTGGATCGATTCTCGAAGATGGCACACTTTATCCCGTGTCATAAGACGAATGATGCTATTAACGTGGCTGATTTGTTTTTCAGGGAAGTGGGGCAATTACATGGGATGCCGCGTTCCATAGTATCCGATCGAGATACTAAGTTTCTGAGTTCCTTTTGGAAGACGTTGTGGAGCAAACTAGGGACAAAGCTGTTGTTCTCTACCACATGTCATCCGCAAACCGATGGGCAACCAGAGGTTGTCAATCGAACTCTGTCCCAGATGCTGCGAGCTGTGATCAGGAGAAACATCAACGTTTGGGAGGACTGCCTTCCCCACGTGGAGTTTGCTTACAACAGGATGGTGCACTCGACGACGAAGTTCACTCCGTTTGAGCTCGTGTATGGTTTCAATCCACTCACTCCTTTGGATTTGATGCCATTACCTTTGAATGAGCAGGTCAATCTCGATGGAGCCAAGAAAGCTGAGTTCGTGAAGAGTTTACATGAGAAGGAGAGATTGAACATTGAGAGAAGGACAGAGCAGATCATGCGCAATGTGAACAAAAACAGGAAACCGAGGCACTTTGAAGTTGGCGACTGGGTGTGGGTGCATTTGAGGAAGGAGAGGTTTCCCCAACAGAGGAAATCAAAGTTGATGCCCCGATGTGATGGTCCTTTCCAGGTGGTTTCGAAGATTGGAAGCAACGCCTACAAGATCAACTTGCCGGGAGAGTATGGAGTAAGTGCAACGTTTAATGTTTCTGACCTTGCACCTTATTTGGATGGCAATTCGGATTTGAGGGCAAATCCTCTTGAAGAAGGAGGGGCTGATGAGGACATCAAGGGGCCAGTCACACGTGCTAAGGCAAGGACGTTGAAGGAGAAGCTTGCGACATATTTGGAAAGCTAGTTTGGAGCCATGGACGTGGAGCTATTTCGAGGGAAGCCATATATGATGATTTGAATGGAGGAAGTGCTGAAGAGAAGGCATATTGCAAGAAGCAGCCTTAATGGGTTTGCTTAACGGGTCTAGCCTTAACGGTTTGGGCTTAACGATTTTGATGGGCTATTTCCGAGTTTTCATGTTTTAAAGTCGGTTTATGATTGTTTTCCATGTTGGAGTCGAATTTGGGTTGTACTTTGCCTAAGGGCTGAACACGTTGGTTTGCCCTTAGATGATTATTATTGAATTTCAGAGGCTAAAGTCGAGTTCCCTACGCGGAATTTGCCCTAATTACTCTGTCGAGAATCTCCAGAGTGCTAGAGCGACTCTTATCAGCTAGGTATTCACCCTGGTTGTGGCGAGCTACGGCCATATCGATTTCCCTTTATTCCGAGTTGAATCTGCCCGATTGATTCATATATCGATTGCCCTTATTCACGGGTGAGTACTGTCCGATCGATTTGCATCCTATCCGGTTCTGTTTGGTTCGAGAAGCTTGACCCTGCGTAACTTTGATTATATCAACCATCCCTTTGCTTTATCTTAAACAGGGCGCCTATAGTCAAGGTCCGATGCTTCCGACTCGCGAACTTGGATAAAAACAGCTCCGCAAATTGCTTGAAACAGTCAATGCTCCCCTCCTCGATTTGATGGTACCAGTCTAAGATCAGTCCCGCGAACATGGACGGGAACACCTTGCAAAGAGTGGCGTCCGAGCTATTATACAGCTGCACCTTGTGAAGTAACTATTCAAATGATCTTCTGGGTCGGTGACTCCGTCATAGCTCGGCAATGATCGTTGTCCTCGCTTGCTCCATTAGAACGCTTCGCGCCAGGGGTTGTCTTACACCGAAGCGCCTGGTTGGCCGACTGGGCGCCCGGACGTTGCGCTCCTCCGGGCTGGACATCACGGGCTCAACAGGCGCCCTCTATGCATGTTGGCGCCTGGGGGTGTCATTTCTTCACTTGGCCCCATGCAATATGGGTGCCTTTGCTGACTGGATTCGGAGTCGTCAACCGCTTTATCCCGCTTTCTCATCGTGGGGCTATACGTCCTCTCATCTTCACTCCGTCCTCCTTCCAACTCCCTCCTCAACCACGCTATGGCTTTGTCCTGATCAGCTATGACTCGAAATAATTCCCTTTTTGATAGGGACTCACTTTCCATGGCTGGGAGCCCCTGGCTACCCTCTCCTTCTATTTCCATGCTCAGCTCTTGGCCTAATTGATGCTCACTCTCCGCCTGATTGGAGCTCCCCGATCTCGATCCGTGCTCACCCGTATCTCCCTCGTTCATGCCTTCCATGCGCCTAGATCTGTGTGCCCCCTATCTGGTGCGCCAATTGTTTGTGCCAAGATACCCGGGTCCCACTGGTCGTGATCCAGGCCCGACTCACAACACAGGCGCCAATATCCTGCAAAGACAAGCGTCGAATGGGCTTCGGGATGCCCGTTAGCACTCCAACGCTCAAGTCAGTGCCAAATCTAGAGAGATAAGTGTTATCCTAAGTGCTATACTAATAGTGAGTGAAGCCAACCTGCGTAAATGCTACCTACCGAGCACTATTTATACTCATCGAAGCCCCAACCGTCCTCCTGGAATTCAGCCCCACGTCATCACCTCATTTAATGCTTGGTACGGTCCAACGGTCGGGTGCCTGTACGTGGCCGCTCCTGGACGTCCCTAGGTAGGCGCCTAGCAGGGACCACGCCTGCTAGGTGGCCGCTTCCCGACTTTCCTACTCCGTACACATTTATCATCATCCCCTTTTGTCGTCATGCGCCTACCCTACCTAGCGTGGCCCTAATTATCTTGTTTGGGTCAGCCTCCTCATTTCTTCCCATGGGCTTGGGCCTAACCAGGCTCATGTCCCCCTGGGTCCTATACATGTTAGCCCAACAGAGTGGCTTTCAGAGTTAAACCCTCTTAAAACCTATAAGTCATTGTCAAAAAAAGAAGGCAAAATACACTTGTATAGCCAAAACGTTCACGCTTGTGCCACTTATAGCAACTTTTGGCGAAATACCACTTATAGTGAGAATTTTGAAACTTTCATGCCAAATATAGCCATTTCTGTTACAAACTTTAACAGTGTTAATAACACCGTTAACTTATTTGATGATTCGCTGACTAGATGTCAACTCAGCGGACACATCAGCGCCAAATAATCAAATATTGACACGTCACATATTTCTATTATTTAATATTTACTCATCATAAATTAATAAATAAAAAATTAATTTTTATTTACACTCATTTAGCCATCTACTTCGCACAACCCATCTTCCCCACGAATCCTCTTCACCTTTCCGACTCTGTCGCAGCAGCAGCCGTTGTTGCGACGGTGGTAGGAATGTAGATCAATTGGGGGCCGACTATGAGAGGCGATGCATACTGTTGAAGGTCAGCCGCCAAAAAGTTGTCATTATTCTCGGCATCGATTTCGCCTTCTGCTATCTGTCACTGGTTTCGATCGAATGAGAAGGAGGAGCGGCGACAAAGGGAAGAGTGACAGAAGAACAAATTGAAGGAGGCAATTGGAACTAGGGCATTGCAGTGAGAAGAGATGGCGTTGCTTGCCGCCACTAGTTGATTTCTTGCAGATCTAGTGGGGAAGCTCGATCTGGAGCGATGGCGGCTTGGGACGACGATTGGAAAGGAATGACGATTGTGTGGCGGTGATGAATGATGGCGGCGATGTCCGGGTCTACGGGGTTTTAGGTAAGAAGCTTGTTCCAGGGGAAGTTTGCGTAGCGGAGGTAGTCGGAGAAGGGTTGGGCGGGGGAGGTGAGGGAAGAAGAGGAATTGTGGTGCTTCAAGTCCATGGCTGGCTATGGTGAATGAGGGGTTTTTTTTGCAGGGGGGCTAATTGTAAGGTTTGGGGGTTTTGATCGAAGAGTGGACTTTGCGTCTTTTTGGTCCATTTTCTTCTTCGTTTTGTTCCTTGCTTGCTTTGGTCCGCCATTAATGGTGGATCTGCTCTAGTTCATGCAGAGGCACATGGGAAGGATAGGAGTTGTTTTGACTATTTTTGTATAAAGAAATTACAATTTAATTTTTAATTTTTTGGTTAATTCCACCTGTGTCGCCACATCAGCCTTTCTGTTAGTTCAATCAGCATGTTAGTTGACACCGTTAAAGAATTGGACGGAAGTGGCCATAAGTGGTATTACGCCAAAAGTGGGAAAAAATCCAAAACTACCACTGTTTAAAAAAATTATAAAAATACCACCCATTTCCAACAATTCCCAAAAATACCATCGTTTATTAAAAACCGCACCTCTAATGGGCGGTTAATATACAAACCGCGTCTCCTGGCAGCGGTTTACATTATAACCGCCTTGCCAACAGGCGTTTTTAAATTCCAGCTAAAAACGCTCCTGGAAGGCGCGGTTTATATACTAACCGTACCACAAAACGCTTTAAGAGGAAGCGTTTAAATGTCGGCAAGATAAACCGCCCCACCAGGCAGCGGTTTACCATGTCCGGACATAAACCGCTGCCCCAAGGCGCGGTTTGTGCCTGGTCACCCGACAACAGACATGTCAGCATGCAGGGGATGGGGCTGCATGGCAGACCTAAAACCGCTCCCCCACCCCCCCCCCCCCCCCCCCCCCCCCCCCGGGTTTGTGCTGCAAAATTTGCCAATTTTCAGTTTTGCACCTTTAAATTATTTAGTTTTTGCGATTAACGTTAATTTGTAAGTTTATTTTGTATTACTTTTCATTGTCCTTTGTGATTTTATGTTAGTAACTTAATTACTTTTCATAGTCCTTTGTGATTTTATGTTAGTAACTTAATTACTTTTCATTGTCATGTCCCTCTTGTATTACTTTTCATTGTCCTTTGTGATTTTATGTTAGTAACTTAATTACAGTTTTATTGCAGATGGCATTCCAAAGGTTCATGCTTGGGTTGCGGTGGAATGGTTACACGGAAGAGACCGAAAAGGGTGTAAGTTACGTCGGTGGCAATTTTTATAAAATGAAGGTCCGTACGAGACCGATGCTTGAAGATCTCCATCAAATGTGCACTCAGATTACCTGCATGGATGGCACTAGAAGAGTTGATCAAATGGTGTATCCAAACAGACATGACGGGTCGCTGTGGAATGAGGAATGCCTCCTTACCACTCAGGAGGACGTTGATGCCATGGTCCAATTTTTGACCACCAATAAAATTAAGCAAGCGGAGATGTTCGTTTACACCGAGGCCGTCGAAGGTAGTGTAGGTCATTCTGGAGATGGCCAAACATCTGGTATCCACGGTGGGAGTTTATTATACGAAGATCATCCCCACCAGGATTTCCAAAACTCAAGCTGGAGGCAGAAGTATCATCATGGAACTGGAAGTCATCACCAATCCTTCCCTTCATATGAAGAAGAAGCTTAACAGGCGGATCACAACCAACAAGCAGGCTACCAGTACCCACCCGATTACAACTTCTATCAAAGCGGTGTTAGTTACCACAACTACCATTACGGAGCTGGTGAAGGTGAAGGTGCCTTTCATGATGATAATCAGATGGAAGAAGAGGTCAATCCAAGTCCAGTTAGTGACCCTGAGGTTGAAGAAGAGGAAGGCGAAGTTAGTGCAGATAGCTTCGATCCGCTGGAAGGTGTTGATGATTCCGGTCCAGATTCAGACGTAGACGGTGATGAGGTACCTCGCGACCGTGTACCTATTCCATACTACAATCACATTCAAAATGAAGATTGGTATGTTGATGCCGACATGGACTCGCCAGAGGTGCCAATATGGGGTCCACTCACTGGCTTTACGAAGGGCCAACAATTTGCAACGAAGAATGAGGTCCGGCCAATTTTACATACTCCTCCGGCCAATTAGTAGCTCCTTGTCGACCATCTTTCCCGTGGTACCCCTCTGACTCTCCGGGAAATCCAATGGTAGGCATTGCTCACGTCCAAATTGTCGTAGACGTCGATCCGGCAAGTGCCACTCCACTATATGGTGGCAGATTAGTGGAACTCGGGTGCACCATTGACCGGGATGTAACGGGAACTTGTGGACGTGATGCGCAACAATGCGTTCTGGATACGTGATAATTGTCGAAAACATATTTATCTTGTGTGCTTAATGTGATTATTTCATGATATGTTTTAGACATATAATGCTTATTTTAGGGGCGATTGACTATTGAATGGTTGCAAAACCATTACCATCTTGTGTTAGAATTTTGATATATTTTAGATGGAGAAACAAGAAAAGATTGATGCCCAAGCAAAATACCATAAGTGGTCCGACCAATGGCCAATCCCAAACCAAACCAGCTTGATCCAGCTTCCTTTACTTAGCAAAAAGTAGCAGCAATATTAGGAGGAATTAATTGGACCGGAAGCAAACTTCTGGCCGGACCAATTGCGCATTCCTATTGGGACACGAGAATGGATTAATGGAAAAGAGGAATTGGAGTTACTTGGAATTGTTTGGACCGGAAATGACACATATATGGGAGCAATTTATTTGGGCCACGAGAAGGGATTTAGCGGGCTGAAGGGGAGAAGGGACTGGACACGTTTTTGGGTGGCTATTATTATTTGTGACGGGAAGTCTTTGAAAAGAGATTCTTTGGGGAGAAAAGAAGCAGCTGGAGAGACGGAACTAATTTAGAGCTGGGCGGCGGAATTCTTTGGATTGGGGGCGAGGAAATTAATTGGGGGAAGGAAAGCAATTGGACACAGCAATCGCAAGCCGGCGGAAAAGAGGGCGCAGCTGGGGACATGGAATTCGATTGGGACGGAATTTTTTTGGCAGCTCGGAGGGAGACAACAATCGCAATTCCAGGGGGAGAGAGAATCAGATTTTGTGCTTCTATTTGTATCAGTATTTTCTCTCTTTTTCGTTACTAGCATTATGATGAACAAGAACATGATTGTGTGTTTTATTTTCGTCATGAACTAAACCCCGATTTCTGGGGGAAACACCATAGGATGTAGCTATTTCTTGACTTGATGGATTGATTCGTATTTCTTTTCTTCCAATCTCTATTGCATGGAATTGCTTAATGCTTTGTGTTGACTGGCCACCAATACATTGATTTGTTGTTAATTAGGTTATTAGCGACAGTGAAACCCTAATAACTGAACATATTTCATGTGACATAGTAACTTATCGAAGCGACAGTGGATTAAATAAGATGCTATGCGGTCTTAAATAGGATATCGATCTTCAGGCTAAATAATTAAGTCATTGAGCTACGACAGTAGGATTTGATTTAATTGTTTAGTACGTAGTAATTCCCGACAGGGATAACTAGCACATTAGTGATATCCTGGCTGTAGAGAATTGGATTAAATTGATTGGAATATGTGAATTACTTTTGATATGATAGGTAGCGAGTCCCGGTGTTTCTCCCAGAGCTTTCTCCCATTGAATTTCTCCTGACCATTTTAATTTGCTTGATTTGTTTAATTATTTTGCTATTAGATAATAATTTCATCAACCAAACCATTTTCACTTATAGTTTGCTCCATAGAATTGATAGAAATTAAGTTTGTACCAGTCCCTGAGAGACGATACCCGGACTTTCCGGTTTACTACGAGATAGGAAATTGGCATATACGCTTTTGCCCTATCAATACGGATCGAACTTAAGCTACGAAGGTGCTTAAAAAATAGACCATTAATCAACATAATAATATAAGTTGAAAAAAGTAGGAATTAATAGCGTATTATGATGCTCACCTCTGCTTCCCAAAGGCGATAAAGCCTCCTACGATACTCCTCCAACTTATGTGCTCCTAGGTTGTCGAATGTTTTTTCACCAAGCCACCTATTCAATCCAAAAAGTATGGGGTGTTAATACATAATAGCCGGTTCGTTATAAAATTACCAATTAGTAAAAAAAAGGTGAGAACTATGAGTGGGATAGAAAACATTTACCTACAACCATAAACTTCATGTCGTAGGGGATGGTCGGGACCCCATTCCTTGTCGGGGTCTACCTTCGGTGCAATTCATGACAAATGCTCCCAAGCCCAAAATTGGACGATGAACATGGCCACATCAATCTCCTTCACCGCTCTCGCACTAGCATTACAGAGGGATCGGTAGAGATGAGCTAGGCAAGCAGATGCCCAGCTCAAGTTTCCCATATCATCCCAACTCCCAAGTATGATCTTCAACCATGAATTGCTGATTAGGTTGTTGGATTTCTTGGGCAAGAAAACTCCTCCGATCATGCCGAGGATGTAGATACGTGGATAAATGTCTTTATCACGCTCCGAACTTTCCTCCGTGAGGGGAATGCCTCCAAACTCAGGGTTGTGCTTACGCCTGATCTCCGTTGTCGACCACGTGATGGAATCTTGGCCCTTGGACAATGATGGATGACCATCCGCATCGTGATATTCCTTTTCTGGCAGACACAACCCGGTGACCGTCCATATAAAATGCTGCCAACCACTCATATTGGCAACAACTTTAGGTGGTGGCGTAGAGTCCACACAAACAACATCACCATCGATGGGCAAATCGGTTAGGATGGCGATGTCCTTAAGTGTGATGGTGCACTCACCTTCACGAAAATTGAAGCAGTGTGTCTCCTTTCGCCATCTCTCTACCAATGCTGTGATGGGTTGGCGACGATCTTGATTCCATTAAAATGCCTAATCGAATCCAATCTTGCCCTTTTAGAAAGGGCAAGATGACATCATTCCATTCAAGCACATTCGTCGTGCCCCTATAGCAGACTATATGGTATGCATCCTAGAGAAGAATTTAAATTTCACTATAAGTTGATGATTTATACATATATAAATATATTATAAGATGCAATATTAATTAAATCAAGGTTGTTTATAGAAATATACATTATCTGATAAACATTAATTTTAATATAACTAAATAATATTATACGATGCAATATTAATTAATTCAAGGTTGTTTTAGAGAAATATACATTATCTAATAAACATTAATTTTAACATAACTAAAATAATTTTCTAAGATGCGATATTAATTAAATCAAAGTTTTTTTAGAGAAATATACATGATCTAATAAACATTAATTTTAACATAACTAAAATAATTTTCGAAATTTAAGTATAATTATTTTTTGTACACATACACATAAAATCAAATATATTATTTTGTTAATCGTATTGATTATTTTCAATAATTAAAAGCAATACAAGTACACTCCTAAGACTCTTAGGGGAGGTATACATCTCCTTAGAAACACAGTCTTTTTGACAGAAAAAGGGGGATCCGAGGATCGCTTAGAACCCGATTTTCCTAGGTCATGGGGGGATCATGATGATCGCTTAAGTCCCCATTTCCTTAGACATGCATTTCTTTATAAAGAGTCTAAATAAGTGTTGTATTGTATTGATTTAAATTATTGAAAATAATCAATACGATTAACAATTAAGTAAATTATTGTACAAACAAATAAATTACTTTAACAAAATACAAATTACAAGTGATGATAAATAATATGTACCTTGTGGTCGTTCCAAACGTCTCTTGAACGATGATTAGCTAGATCGTATAAAACATTCGGATCAATCGGTCCTTGATCAAACATAATATCGTTGATTGTAAATATCAACATCCGGCCAACCTACGATAGCATAACAACAACATAAATCAATTAGTATATAAATTAAATAAATTATTATAAAAACAACAACAATTGGGTAAAATGAGTACGTACCGTTTGATAATCATCATAGAAAATGCCCTCTTCTTGGATGAAATCGGCCATTTTTTCCTAATCCGGACAGAGATTCGATGGTTTTTTAGTGAAAACCAAAGAATTTTTTTTTAAAGGCAAATCGGACTTAGCTGCAACCAACAAAATAACTAATTCTAAGGTTTTTGGGTGGGGGGGGGGGGGGTGGGTAGAGTGAGGAGTTAGAGGGAGAGGGGGGAATGGGTTTGGTGTGCAGAAAATAGGAGGGGGAAGGGGGGTTTATATAGGGACGAAACCGCGTGAGGGAGGGGCGGTTTCGTCCTTTTACCCCGCCTAAAATCGCGCCTCCAGCGCAGTTAGCTTTCCCCAATAGTCAAACCGCGCTTCGGGGGAGCGGTTTGACTGAGCGACGCGGATCGCTGAGCTGGCGCGCGGTTTGGTCATCAGATCGCTCCCCCATCACACGGTTTGATGCACCGCCACGTGGCCACGCGGTTTGACAGCCAGGAAGAGTCAAACCGCGCCTTGCAGGCGCGTTTTGTTTTATGACCGCGTCTTCGAGGTGCGTTTTGTGTGAGAGGGTGATATTTTTGGAAATTGTTGGGAATGTGTGGTATTTTTGTAAAAAAAAATTTATAGTGGTAGTTTTGGATTTTTTCCCCAAAAGTGACTATAAGTGATATTTCAAAAATAACTATAAGTAGCACATGAAAGTTTTGACTATTTTAAAAAAAACCCACCTATAAGTTTCTGATCCTAATCCGCTATGCTATGAAAAATAGAAATTTATATCCCAGCCCAAGTTCCATCTGGGCTTATCTCACTTTCATCGGGTCAAGAAGCGAGTCGGTTTTCCTTTAGAACCCGCCCACTGATTTATTCAAGCGGGTCAGTCAGAATAGTGGTAACTGCTTCCTAGGTTTTAAGAGGGTTTAACTCTGAAAGCGGCTCAGCCCTTCAAACCTCCTTCCCAGTTTCCTGCCTGCCTGCAATCGATCTCCCTTCTTCCCCACTCCGCTTTTCACTTCCATGACTCTTTCCAATATCCCATGATCTCCTTCACATTATCGCTACATCGTAACTTCTTAAACTCAATAACGATCGCTTCTCCCAGTATTCCTTCAAGATACCCTTTTTTTGGTTCCCCTTCCAATCCCTCAGCTGCTGCCCGTTCTTCCTAGCACCGTTCTCTTGACTTACTGCGAATATGTGGAGGAATTTCGCCAGACGAGTTTCTTCCTCCAAAAGGGTCAAATTCCCTTCAAGCAGTGCTTCCCAATGTCAAGATTCTAACTTTCTCGACAGAATTAGACCTCCGGTGCTTCCTTCCTGCTCCGATTCCCTCCTCCCAAGCGCCGGATTCCGCCGAAGTTGCTTCTCAACCATTCAAAATGTGAACTTGACAGGACCCTATTCGAGTATTCCGGCGGGTTATTGTACGGTACCTTCGTTGAAGCGCTATGGGACTGCGGCGGCGCAAGTAGTTTCTTCGACGGACGAGTCCGACCTTTCTGGCTCCGATGAGCTGCAGGAAATGGTGAAGGAATTCAACAAGCAGAAAATGGAGTTGCGGCAACCACAGCAGCCGCCGCAGCCTCGCCGGCCGAAGAAGATGGTGGCGGGAATGGGCATAGGGAAATACAATCTGCTCAAAAAGAGGCAGGTGAAGATGGAGACGGAGGCGTGGGAAGAGGCGGCCAGAGAGTATCAGGAGCTTTTGGTGGATATGTGCGAGCAGAAATTGGCTCCCAATTTGCCTTACGTGAAGACTTTGTTTCTTGGATGGTTTGAGCCTCTGAGGAATGCAATTTTGGCGGATCAGGAAGCTTGCAAGGAAAAGAACTCTAAGGCATCTCATGGGCCTTATTTCAATGAGCTTCCTGCTGATATGATGGCTGTTATAACGATGCATAAGATGATGGCATTGTTGATGACTACTAATGGAGCTAATGGGAGTGTGAGGGTGGTTCAAGCTGCTTGTGGTATAGGTGAAGCAATTGAACATGAGGTGAGTTTCCTTTTCACACATTCTAAAAACATGCTTTCTTATTGTAAGAATTCGTAATTTGTTAGTGAAAGGTAGTGGGTAATCGGTTTACTGCTTTTGGATGAAAAACGCTTCTCACTTGAATACCATTTTCTGGATCTTATAGTCCATGATTAATAAGTTCTTGGAGAAGACTAAAAAGAGGGGCAAAAAAGCAAGCAAACCTGAAATTGAACCCGACAGTGCCAGCGTGGCAAATACAGAGGAGAAATCAGGTGAAGACAGCGATAAACTTAGAAAAAAAGTTACTACATTGATGAAAAAGCAAAAGCTTTATCAAGTGAGGAAAATGGTGAAGGATCATGATGATCCAACGCCTTGGGGGCAGGAAGCACATGTTAAGGTTAGTTTGATTGTCTAGAGAGATGATTGCAAGTCTACATTTTGTGTTATGCTTGTTATTCTGATACTGAATGTGTCTCAGGTTGGCTGTCGGTTGATCCAATTGCTGATTGAAACCGCTTACATACAACCTCCCGTCGATCAATTAGGAGATGGTCCACCTGATATTCGCCCAGCATTTGTGCACTCCCTCAAGACTGTCACACATGAGGCACAGTAAGTCAGAGAAGCTATTGTTATTTTCATGGTCCCTTTGCATCTCTTTATGTCCATACAGAAAGTAATATCATACAATTTTCCCCTGACAGGAAAGTCAGTAGGAGATATGGAGTGATTGAATGTGACCCTCTAGTCCGTAAAGGCCTCGAGAAATCTGTAAGTAAAAGCTTCAAAGAACTTCGTTGCATTAGATGTGCGCCTTTAATTTCTGTTATTGGATAAGCTTGTGGGGTTTAGAGACATGTTTCACTAATTTCTGTTTTGTTCAAGCAGGCAAGACATATGGTCATCCCTTACATGCCGATGTTGGTTCCCCCTGTGGACTGGAGCAAGTATTTCATCCCAGTCCTTGTCTGTTATTTTCTTAGAATTTTTTCATTTTTGCTTTAATAGTAATTGTTTCTTGCGTTATGTTGAAAATATAAGCATTATACACATGGAACTTCAGTGCAAATCGATTGTAATCTTGTATTTACTATCATTTTCTCTCTTTGATTCTGAGATCGCTCAGAATTTGCTATCATCTAGCGGCTTGATGTAAATTTTCTGTTTCCATCATTCTATCTTTCACGTTTATTTTTGGTTCCCAAAATACTTTCTTTGAATTGAGAGTATTCATCCTTCTTGTACTACTACACTAACACCTTTGCCCCCTTTCTTATAGATATGACAAAGGTGCCCACTTTTTCTTACCTTCTTATGTTATGAGGATCCATGGGTCAAAGCAACAACGGCAAGTGCTTAAGAGGACTTCAAGGGAACAATTAGATCCTGTTTATGAGGTTTGAAACCACAATTCATGTTCTTCAGTTTAATAATGATTGTATAATAGTGCTTTCTGTCATAATTCTCTCATCTAATGAGGAACCTGCTTTCTGATGGAATTCCTCCATTATCAATCAGGCCCTTAATACATTGGGGAACACCAAATGGAGAATAAACAAGAAGGTATTAGCTGTAGTGGATAGAATATGGGCAAGTGGAGGCCGTATTGCTGGCTTGGTTGATCGTGAAGATGTGAGTTTAAGTTCTGCAAAATAGTCTGGTTTATTGTTTGGCCAGTTACTTCTCTTCAGTATGCAATATCTTTATTCTTCAAGGAAACAAGAAGAATTAATGTCTATGAAAAATGCTATGAGTTGGATACTTGGACTATTACGTTATTTATTCTTTTCATTTTGCCAGTTCTCCTTCTTTGTTATCTCTGATACCTTATTAACGCTTTAGTTTATCTATTAATTTTCACAGATTCCTCTACCTGAGAAGCTAGAAACAGAAGACGAGCAAGAAATGCGGAGATGGAAGTGGAAAGTAAAAAATCTAAAAAAAGAGAACAGTGAGAGGCATTCACAAAGATGTGATATAGAGCTTAAACTTGCTGTAAGATGCTTCGTCTATTTAAATTAGCATGTCATGTGGATTTGCATGATGTGGTATGCGAGGCATCATATAATGGTTGTTGTTATCCGACATTCAAACTTTTGATCAGGTGGCTAGAAAAATGAAGGATGAGGAAGGCTTCTACTACCCACACAACCTTGATTTCAGAGGACGTGCTTATCCCATGCATCCACATTTGAATCATCTTGGTTCTGATCTCTGCCGGGGTATCTTGGAGTTTGCTGAGGGGCGACCTCTCGGAAAGTCTGGTCTGCGGTGGCTAAAGATACACTTGGCAAATTTGTATGCTGGTGGCGTGGATAAGCTATCCTATGACGGAAGGATAGCATTTACTGAGAAACATCTTGAGGATATCTTTGATTCCGCTGAGCAACCTCTTGAAGGAAAGCGGTGGTGGTTAAATGCAGAGGATCCATTTCAGTGCTTAGCAGCATGTGTTAATCTAACAGAAGCATTGAGAAGCTCCTCCCCAGAGATGACCTTATCATACATGCCTGTCCACCAGGTACTAACTACTTCACTTGCTACTCCCAAGCTTTCAGTCCTTCAAATCTGTGGAAGTTTTCGGTGGATAGTCTTTATTGCATTCATGGTTCCTCTTGTATCACTATTTTCCATCCTCTTGGCTCTAATTTCTCTTGTTTTCTTGTTCAAGGATGGCTCTTGTAACGGTTTACAACATTATGCTGCTCTTGGAAGGGACAAGGTACTGGTTCTGCGTTCAATTGAGAAATATGCTAGGGCAAACCCTACAAACTTTTTCTAACTTCCCTCTGTTTTGGTCAATCAGTTAGGAGCTGCTGCAGTAAATCTTGTTGCAGGTAACAAACCTGCCGATGTTTACTCAGGAATCGCTACTAGGTAGGTTAATCTCTTATTGTGCTGTTCTTCAGCATCATAGTCAGTATGAAGGCAGATAATACATAACTCTTTAATATGCAAATCTGGCATATCTTATTTATATTTGCGTGTTACACACCAAATCTTGTCCACTTGATTGACATAACTTTTGATTTAGTTGGTCTGAAACCAAAACCAATTCCATGGACCATGTGCTGATAGTCTGCAGTTATATAGCGTGTGACTGACTGTTTACTTTTGTTAGACTATCTAATCCTTTTGATTTTTTTTTATGTAGAGTTCTTGAAATTATGCGTATAGATGCAGAGAAAGATCCAGCAACTAATCTGAATGCATTGCATGCCAAGCTTTTGATTGATCAGGTTAGTTTTCCTTTATTATCATTTGCTTTGAACATTTATTCAGCTAAATTGGGCATGTGAAGCATGACTCATTAGTGTTACTGTGTTCTCCCTGTAGACCGATCTGTCTTTGTTGCTAGAAACTTAAGTCTTTGCAATTCAAATGGCAGGTTGACAGAAAATTGGTTAAACAAACAGTGATGACATCAGTGTATGGTGTCACCTATATTGGTGCTCGTGACCAGATAAAGAAAAGGTTAAAAGAGCGTGGTGCAATAGATGATGATGGGCTTCTGTATCCTTCAGCTTGTTATGCAGCAAAAGTAAGTGAAATAAACTGAACTTCTGGTGTAATCTCCATATGCAAACTGTATGAACAAGATTGCATCAAGTGTTCTTTTTTACTGTATGTGCAGACTACCTTGACTGCTCTAGAAGAGATGTTTGAAGGAGCAAGAAGTATCATGGCCTGGCTCGGGGAATGTGCAAAGGTGTGGTATCATCCTTTCTCCATTTGCTTGCAAGTAAAGCAATTGCTTTGGGAGTCGTAAGTAGGAAACTGTTGGCATTAGACCCTCCTTGTTGCAATGGTTTCTGATTATTGAAGGCGCTGTTTGGTTCATTCTAGGAGGTTGTCAACAGAAGCAAGTAGTACTAGTCAGCGTATATAATTTTTCCCCACAAAATGGTGTATGATTGTGGAATTATTAGACGATCCCACAATTTTATGACTTTTTAAAGGGTAGGTGGACTTATTAAAAAATATTTGAGCTGTGGGAAATGAGGAATGACTCCACAAGTTGCTGGAGTTTTGTGGAAAAGAAGGGGTGCTAATGAAAATGTTGAGAAGATAAAGTAAAGTGAGAGCCACATCAATTTAAAGGCAAAACTTAGAAGTTGGTTATTTGATAGGAGATACCAGAAGGTCCTAACTGGTTGAATGACATGCAAAGTAAGTAAAGCTTCAGAAATGGAGTGCATACTTTGTTTACTTTTCACCGAGTCATTTCTTTATTTTGCCAAGGAAATAGGTTCTGTACTTCTTTCACACCTTTTGTCGACATGGAACTTGAGTTCAACTGGAACCTTTTTCTGTTGTACATGTGGAATGACATGCAGTTGCTTATTCATACTCATAAACTAAACTGGCTACAGATAATTGCCTCGGAAAATGAGCCTGTACAATGGATTACTCCTCTTGGACTCCCTGTTGTACAGCCTTACCGACAACTGGGTAGACATTTGGTATGGATCGATGCCTTATGTTATGAACTTTCTTTCTGGTAAAATCAAATTAACACCTAAAGAAGCCTATGACAACTACTAACTTATGTGTTCTTCAATTATGTGCTAGATCAAGACATCACTTCAGATGCTGGCCCTGCAGAGAGAAACTGATAAGGTAGTTATTTACCTAAATATGCTAAAGTTTTCTCCTATTTATACTTATTGTTCTATCCTTGAAAAAACTTGTGTTTCTTGTAGATAATGGTTAAACGGCAAAGAACTGCTTTCCCTCCAAATTTTGTTCACTCCCTAGATGGGTCTCACATGATGATGACCGCTGTTGCCTGCAGAAAGGCTGGTTTAAACTTTGCAGGTCGGCACTAAGCCTACTGTCTTTGTGGCTGCTACTCTTACAATGTGTATGTATTGTAATCCTAATTCATTTTTTATCACAGGTGTCCACGATTCTTATTGGACGCATGCAAGTGATGTCGACGAATTGAACAGAATACTTAGGGAAAAGTTCGTTGAACTTTACGAGGCGCCTATACTGGAGAATGTAAAGTCCTCTAATTCCACCTTGTTACATTACATTCTCCCCCTGAAAGATTCAATACCTTTTTTTATGGAAGGGGTGCAGTTCAAATGGTTGCTTACTTGTCTTGGCATAATGTTGAGGATATTGAGATACTTGGAAATTGCTCTGCTAACTAATGTTGAAACTTTTAGTGAACTATCTTTGATGTTTCAATTGGGGGCTGGGCAAAGGAAACCTACCTTAGTGTTATCCTAACTGTTCTTTTTATACTTGCATCTTCAAATTAACAAATTTTGACATTTGGCTTTAATTAGATGGTGGACTTATCAATAAGGTTTATTATCCTTTTCGTTTTTGTGGCTGCAGTTGTTGGAGGCGTTTCAGAAGTCCTTCCCTAAATTAAAGTTTCCTCCTCTGCCAGATAGAGGAGACTTTGATCTGAAAGATGTGCTGAGATCTCCCTATTTCTTCAACTAGTTTGGATGTAAAGAATGCTGGTTGAACTCAACAATGCCAAAATTGTGCTGTGCCAACTTTACCGGCCTACGGAATATGCAAGTTTTGTCCATACCGGGCCTTGCCCTAGTATTCTGAAAGGCAAGCACCGGGGACCCATTCTTCAAGAAGAGGCTGCTTGACATGAGAAGTCACCACAGGTTGAGTTTGCGAAGAATAGTACATATTGCAACAGAGGAAATGTGTATAGTTTACTGGCTTGAGATTTCCTTTTGCAACTGCTCCTGTGAGGAGAATGAGGAGAGGCCACTGGAACTGGTGAAATTGCAGATCTCTGAAGGACACACAGTTTGGGTCATGATCACCCTAATTGTGTGCTGCTACGATCCAGGTAATTTCTCGAGTAATAAGAAAGCATCAGCAGATGTGGGGAAAAGAATGCGAGCTTGGAATGCAATGCAACTTTATCGTCTTTGCTTTATGGTAGATTCTTAATAGATTTCTTGAGATTGGCGAAAAAGCTGGAGTGAACATTGTAACCTGGGATCTGGGTTGTCTGTACCGATAGATTCAAGGGATGAACTCACATTCTATTGTACTTGTTGCGGATGATTACTTACTATATGCCGAAGCAATTTGTTCAATGTGACACAAAACCTAATACAAAATAAAAGAGTGAAGGAAATTTCAATAGTAGAGACTGGAATGGATTTGGGTTTACTTTAGTTTACAGAAAATGAAGGCATATACATAAGCTTGTTGGGTCTCAAGTCAACACTGGATGGTTGAGTACCAATTTCTTTCAATGGACTACCATTTTTGTATGAGGCATGTGATTGTAAGACAAAGTAAAACTCTATAGAGGAAGTAACCAGAAGTGTCTAAATTCGATGTCTGTGTGATGATCTACTTCTTCAAATTGGCGCCAGTTGCTATGGAGATAGTTTCTTTCTCAGCAAGGCATAGGCATCACTGTATATAGCAACTGAGCACGAGAGCACAGCTAGGAAAATCATGAAAATAGACAAAATCTTCTCCTTCTTTGTTGCTATGGCATGTGGATCCCTGAAACCCCCAACAGGTACAAATCAACAAAAATGAAGCTTTATTTGGAACCGTTACCTGGACTGCAAGAAATTAGTTAGGGAAGCACTAAACCTGAGAGCGATTGCAGCTGGGAAGATAAAACCGAGGCAGACTGCTGATGTCGCCCCAGTGAACTGGAAAGCATCCCAGATACTCGGTACAAAATCTGCTCCCAGAAAGATCATACAAATGAGTGCTATTGTGAGCAATATAAACCTTCTGGTATCTAAAGCAAGATCCATGGCCGATGGAAAGAGCAGCTCATCGATGTTGCTTCTCAGGGGGTAGAAAAGCACTGGGAAAACAAGCATCAAGTGGAGAGCATAACTGACTCGAATGACATCATTGAGCACAGAGCTGTAAGGAATGCCGAGGTCTGTGTTGAAGTTAGCCAGCACATCATCGAGTGTCGAGTCACCAAAAAGGAGGAAACCGAAGAAGCTTATCATAATGTAGACAGAAGAGCAGAGAGCTAGTGAAGCTTGCACAACTTTTCGTATCTTGGTAGGGTCTTCAAGTTCATTCTCAATTGTATGAACTGCAGAACAAACACATCAGACTAATGATGGTAATAATCTGATTCAAGCTTACATATGCACTGCGGTTTTTGGTCTTACCTACCGTTGAAATGACATATGAAAGCTGTCACAAGCACGGGTACAGCAGTGAAGAGATTCCAGAATGATGTGATGCTAGTAACATTAGGAAGCAACCTTGGCATGGAGACGCTTCCATTGATCAATTTGAATGCTGCAATTCCTGCTGTTATGACGAGGAAAACGACTGCAAGTGCAACTGCTACAGCTGACGAGAACTTCAACGAATCTACCACGGTATTAAAGAATCAGTTTCTTCAAAACAGAAAGAGGTGAATCGTTCCACGTGATAGAACGATAGCAACTAGGGAACACAATATTTTTCTGTACCTATTTGCTTTAAGCATGCCAATGGAGAAAATACAGCAAATGTCATGACGAGGAAAACAGCAGTACGGCCATTCCACCATTGGCTTCCAAACCATTCCTCCAGGACACCCCTCTTGTGAATCTCATTTGCAGATGTTGTTCCAGACAGCACATCGCCTTCACTTCATTAGAAAGCAATTCAAACACTCTGGTAATATCTCTCAAGGCTAAGAGTGGTTGTTCATAAACAAACTCTCGAGAACCAGTTTGTTCCAATAACTCACATCGTTGGAAAAGGCTAATTTACGAGTTTTAAGTTTTTACAACCTCATAAACCATGTGCATCAACACGTAATACTGCAATGGTATGTGGGGTTTTAGGGAAATGGTATAAGATCCAAATTTAGAACCTCTATTAACAACTCATAGCTAATTGGTTCTCTGTCACAACCTCAGAAAACACAGTCCATTTCACCACAACTAGTTCACAGAACTAATCTAATTGATTTTGACTTCCTTAACCCATAATCTATTTTGATCCTCACAATACCTAAGATTGAAACAAGGAGAACAGGAAAGTCATACCAATGATGATCATGTAAACAACAAGAACCCCGACGTTATTGAGCAGCACACAAATCTGAAGCAGGGTTCTGCCGCCATTCCCAAACGCGTCCTTCATAACTCCGCCGTACGATTTCACTTCCTTCCCGGCCTTGCTGTATCTCAGCAGCATTTCCAGCGACCGCTCTGTGAGAACCGCGACGAACACTATGAGCGCGATTCCGAGCCCCAGGCCCAGAATTTTCATGGTGGCTGGCAATGCCATGATTCCAGCTCCGATAATCGTCGTGGAAAGAGTGAAGACTGAACCAGTGAAGGAAGCCCTGATTCTAGTGTGACCACCATCACCGAACTGCGATCCCTGCTCCTCGTGAAGCAACAATGGCGAAATTGATGAGGATCCATCGATGGGAATTCGGTAATTGGGTTCTCCACTGCTCTTCATTTGTTCAGTGAGTTTAATTGAAGAGTAAAGATGGTTCCTTTTTCGTGTTGGGAATGGAGGGAAAATGGAGGAAGGCCGCCGAATGGAATGAGTAGGCGTTCTTATAATCTTATCAGTAGGATGTGAAGCTGAGGTTAGTGGCATTTTGCGAGTATTTCTTTCCATTTTTCTATTATTATTTTGGATTCAAAATTTCCAGATATTTTGGTTTTATCTTATGAATATTGATTGCTATATACTTATATTGATATATACTTAGCCCTATAAATGGAGTGAAGTCCTGTATTCCACCTAATTGGTATTATCTGAATAAACTTTTGTTTTGTTCCTAATTGATGTTTATCTGAAGAAATAATTTCAATACGAATAAGCCATTTCATAGATTTATTTTCATTAAAGATAGAAGGCTGCTAGGCTATGCAATTCCTAATTGATGTTTATCTGAAGAAATAATTTCAACATGATGAGTCATTCATAGATTTCTTGTCATTCAAAAAAGATAGAAGGCTGCTAGGCTATGCAACCGGTTATAATAAGAAAGTGTTCAACATCAATATGGTATCGATGATGCATTTTTTATTGAATTAATTGCATTGCTTATATATATATATATTTTTTTTTTGGGATTGTTGTCTAAAATTCTATGGTGATTCCCAATTGGTGGTGTGGTCGGTGTTGACAGGGTCATGATGTTGGAGGAGCTATACTGGAAAATGTCAGATGACTTGCTTAGCGCTTCGACTTCTTTTCTTGTTCATTTGCTTTTTGGATGATAGGGCTGGCCATCTTGTTGGCAAATAGCTCTTACATAAGTAGTTCTTCGACTATTGGTGAAATACATTTTTTTTACAATATTGGTCAACTACAACATGTGATTGTGTACCTCACTTCTTCTAATAATTCGAGTTATTTACATTAGTTGGTTTATTAAATTGATCATATACCACTTTCTTACATGATCCTGTCAATAACCAGTTGATCCCAATAACTCGAGCTGTTGGGAGAGGTCCAATCGTGGATCATATACCGTTTACTAACAAATCCTTACATTAGTGTGAATTTTAAACTTATGATTTTCTTTTTCCGGTCAAAAAAGAAAATCAAATTATATGATTAAATTCATACAGGACAATGACAATATGTGCTTTAATCCATGTTAATATTGGGGGTTAGATGAAGTTTTTTCTTCTCTATACTTCTTTTTTCTCTCCAGCTTTATTGTTGAAAGTTCATTTTCTTTTACCCCATTATAACCGTTGAAGGATTAGTTTGTATAGATATATAACAGGTAGCGGGAATCGAACCCGCATCGTTAGCTAGGCAGACTAGGGGTTGTGGTTGACATTGATTCATTATTTATAACGTCTCTAACCCACATCCATTATCACTCACATGATTCCTATGTAACCATAGTATCACACACTTAACATAATATGCTTCATCTTCTCTCTTACTCGGTAGCTATGATTATGAATGAGTAAATTGTTGACGGTCGGTTGGAAGTTGGGATATCATATCATGTAGGACTTTGTCATGGTGACATGCACTTTTTGGTCGACCTCATATAGGATTAGGTCGACCTAATCTATTGTTCAGTGTAAAAAAAGTTTCATGGTGCCTACTTTGGAGATTCATATCTTACAATTGGCTAGATGGAAATTGGAGATTAATGTCTTGTTTTGAAGATGAAGTGTCCCTCTACACATTAAAGTACTTAGGAGGTTGATAGCTCAATTTGAAAAGCATGGATGCGATTCGAGTCCAGTAGCCTCTACCACGTTAAATTAGATATGTTTGTCTACAAAGGCAAGGCATTGGATGGAAGAGTGGATATCTATAAGGCTTCAAACAAAAGGCTCGAATTTGCTACAAAGGCTGTTTTTCTGGCAGCTTGCTTGTACTCGAAGTCTGCTAGAAAACAGCCTTCGTAGCAACTTCGACCGTTTTGTTTGAAGCCTTATAGATATCCAATATTTCATCCAATTCTTTGAATTAGTATAAAAACATACCTAATTTAATGTGGTAGAGGCCCCTAGACTCGACTCGCATTCATGCTTCTCGAGTTGAGCTCAAAAGTAGGCTTCACAAACACGTTTCCAGACTTAGCCATTTTCAGGCAGTTTCCCAGTTTTGGCATAGCCTTTTGATCAGGTTCAAAAATGGTCTTCTAGACTTCCTATCGAGCTCTTAATCACTTCAATATGTAGAGGGACACTCCAGCTTCAAAACAAGCTATTAATCTTGAATTTCCATCTAGCCAATTGTATGATATGAATCTCCAAAGTAGGCACCATGAAACTGTTTTTACACTGGAACAACAGATTAGGTCGACCTAATCCTAAATGAGGTCGACCGAAAAGTGCAAGTCACCGTGACATGCATGTCACCGTAGGAGCACCCTATCATGTATAGGCAATACATGTATTTA